ACACACACACACACACACACACACACACACACACACACACACACACACACACACACACACACACACACACACACACACACACACACACAAAACATAAAGAGACAAAAAGTGACATATACTTAGTACTGCAGTAGCAGCAGTGGTAGTACTACCAGCAACAAGCATTACAAGTAGTACCAGTAGTATTAGAGTAGAGGAGTAGTTGAAGTAGAGACACTTACAGAACAAGTATGTGTTACAGTAGAAGTAGTAACAGGTGGAACAAGTTACTACAGTAAATATACTCATAGCTAGTAACTGTAGTACTGATACTAGTAACTGTAGTAGAGGTTGTTACTGCAGAAAAACTCAAACATCAAATTTGTACAACTTTAACTTTTTATTTCAGAATAAAAGACCTCAGCAGCACACTCTCTTCAAACACAATGGTCAAATCAGTCATCTGCTTTTACTTTGAAAAGAGAAATGAGACGTTTGTTTCCAGAGTGATGTTTCAGGTTTAGTGCAGAATTCATGTCATTCATGTGTGTGTGTACAACCTGTCAAACACACACACACACACTTTACATTGAACTTGTATCAGAAACCTTCAACACAGATTAAATAGCAGTTAAATAAATATGACCTCAGTTATTGATACCTGATCACAATCAGGTGACTGACTGGCAACAGCTATAAGTGCAGTACAAACTAAAGTCAGCAAGGATCCAGATCCAGATCAGGTGCAGGTGTAGTTTTAGTGCAGCATATGGACACATGTGAAACAGATGTAAAGAATCTGCATTCATCAATAACTCAGATGAACTGTGAGTGTGTCGCAACAGATGAAGAAGAAAATATCTGATTCAATCAGACTGAAGTCTTCAGTATTAAATACACAAGAGGCTGAAGTTCACAGCCATGGATTCATCCTTCATTATCCAATAAATCCCACTGAGCTGTCATAATTTAATGACAGCTGTTCACAGCTGTGAACACCTGTTCAGGTGTGACCTGTGATGTTTTCCTGGGAACAGCTCAGGGCTCACCTTTTCAGGCTGTTGGACACATTTGTTTTTGTGTTCAGGTAAATTTTCTTCATGTTTTATCACTTCAACATTTTCTTCTTTGGTGTTTTGCACTTTTATAAATAAGTATAAAAAATGAATAACTAAGATTAACCTGTAGCAGCTCCTTATTCTCAGTAACTTTACATGTCAGTATCACAATACAACAGACCCTGTAATAATAATAATAATAATAATAAAGTAGCTTTGCCCTTCATATCTGATCATTAGTAACTGAAAAGCTGAAAACTATAGAAGCGTCTGAAATGAAGAGTTCTGCTCCAAACTGAATCACTCAGATTTGACCTCAACACTGAGCTTCTAAGTGGTTTTCATTAGTGGTGACAGCGCCCCCAGTGGACAGGCAGGGCCACATGTCATGCCTTACTACACCATCATATTTTATGACTTACTATGACATACCATGACCTCCTCTCCATAACAAACAGACCAAAGGGTTGACTCTCCTCTCTGTCAATGTAGTGATCTGAACAAAGGCAGAAATGACTTTAAGAGGAACCTGAAGTGGAATAGTTTGGACTATGAGGCGGGAACAGCACAGAGTCTGGTTAACCACAGGCTGAGTCACAGGTAGGGGGTTATGAAACCGAAAACCAGAACCGGTTGGATTACTACTAAAAATGTTGGAATTAGATTCCTATAGAAACTAGATTAATATATTTTATGCCATGTCTAAGGACATATACTTCTCATAGTAGCACTTGAAGACGACGGTTGATGTTTCAGTTGGTCTCTTATCACCCAGGGAACTTGCTGCAGGTGGCTATAACACAGTGAATCTTGGGGGCAGTGTAAACTCTTACTGCAGCCATTTTAACTAAGGCACAGACTGCAGAGCTGCAGCAGGTTACTTCAGGTCATCGCTGTGGAAACATTCTGGTTCTCTTGTTTCTCTCTGGTCAGTAAACACAAAGAAACCTCAGGTGAGACAGGAAGTGAGGAGCTGAGGCTGAAACGATGCAGGTGAGTAATCATTCTTTTTAAAGGAGAGTTGTGACTTTAAAGTCGTTTTATCACTGAAACTAAAGTTGTTTTGTTTTATTGGTTTTTAGAGCAGACCCTTCATCAGTTAGTGTGTGATGTTTCTGTTGAAGCTCCACGGTTCATGTGTGAACCTGTGTCCAACCCAAACTGCACAATGACAGGACAGACAGCTGAGTGAGGAGAGGGGGGGTCAGTGTTACTGCAGCGTTACCAGCTGGTGGTTCAGAAGGAGCTGGTCCTGGATCTGTTCCTGATACTCCAACACGTTTTCCTGCAACGTGAAGAACAGAGAGAGAGACACGACTCACTCACAGTATCTGGACTTTGTTTGGAAACATTATGATTCATTATTAATATCAGTCAAATATCATGATCCTTCCTCAGATGTAGGAAGTCAAACATGAAGACATGAACTCTGAGTGTTACTGTCGCTGACTTTGGATCTGAACCGGCTTTAAAGGTCTGGACCTGGTGCAGGTTTAATCTTTGTGTTGGACTCTCCAGTGGATCCAGACTCTGAGAGACGTGGTTCTGTTTGTGTAACTCCTCTGACGTGTCGGCTCCTGACTGAGAGAGGAAGAGGAGGAGGAGGAGAGGTCTCACTCCTCAGCGCTGCACCACAGACACACAGATTCAACATCGACTTGCCTCCATCAGCAGAGACCTCCGAGCATGACAAACACTTTATCCACTTCGTATGATCCAGTTTCATGACACCAAACATATTGCTGTGGCGTGAAGGAAACACACAACCTGAGCATCCCCAGTGAAGATCATCTGTTGATCAAAAGCTCCAGAGCAGCTACTAAATGGATGCTGAGGTGAAACTGCTTTGAGAGGAAGTTGACATCATATCTACAGAATAATAATGTATCATATGAATTAAACCCTGTTCAGCAGGGTATCAACACGTCCTCTCATCAATGATGTCACTGTTTTCTTTATATTTGAGAAACATCATCAGCTTCCTGTCACATGACACACATCCTCAGTGTTTCGTTTCTGACTGACTGCTGCAGGTCAAACACAACTCATGAGGAGGCGAACACACCTGTGACAGTCAGCTGGACTCTCTGCTCCACGCCTGCCTCCGGGATGTGGCACTCATACAGTCCGGTGTCCTCCTCCTGGACGTTCTGCAGGGCGATGGAGAAGTTTCCCTTCCTGTTCAGATCAGGGGGACTGATCACTCGCCCTCTGAACTTCTCGTTCTGGGTTTTCATATTGTGGACGCCGCTGATGATGTCCAACAAGATGTTGTCGTCTCTGTCCCTCCAGTAGACGTTGACCTTCTCTGGTTGAAGGTATTTTTCCGTGTAGATGCAGGGCAGGAGGACGCTGTCTCCGATGAAACCCTTGACGACAACCTGGCAGCTCACTGAAAGACAACACAACAAACACAGAGTGTGTGTGTTTACTCTGTGTGTGTGTGTGTGTGTGTGTGTGTGTGTGTGTGTGTGTGTGTGTTCGCGTTACACAACATGTTTGCTTTTTGTGTTTCGGAGTCAGACTCTGAATCAACGTCATGATCTGAGATAAAAGTGAACTAGTGAACAAAGATGAGACAGTCCAAGCTGAAGGGCATCTCCTGATGCAGCTGCTCTGATACAGATGTTGTTCTGCCTCATGAAATCACACTGCCACATCTTTACTTATTTCTTTGAGTTTTTAATAAAATAAAATATCTGTATCTGTGTCTCGGCGTGAGGTTGTTTTGTTGGAATATGGCAGGACATTTTCAACCTCAGTGCTTAAACAAAAGATAGAAAACATGTTAATACACTCACCTGTGTTCACACAAAGAAGTACGATGAACCACATGAACCTGTGGAGAAAGAAAACAGGTCAATAAATCATTAAAACATCGAACTCGTCAAATCAGAAACAGTTTAAAACGACTGGATCTGCTGGATCACTGATTTCTGACTGAAATGAAGGTAAAAGAAACGTTGAAATAAACATGGACTCTATGTGCAGCTGAGGCACATGACTCCTAATCTTCCTCAGACGAGTGGAATCACAAAATAAACACTGAGCCACATCAAACATGAGAGGTCATTTCCCTCTGTGACCTTCAATATTACAGAAAACTTTCTCATGAAGCAACTGCAGCCAGAAAATCATCTTTTACTTAAGTAAAAGTACAAATACTACGGGGTAGAAATACCCCAGATATCACAGTACAAGTTCATGATGCAGTAATAAGTGAGTTAGGACACAGTTAGACTTAGGAAGAACTTGACTGACGTCACTTTCAGTCATAAGTAGACAAAAAGTCGCTCAGGTTCTGGTTTAATTTTTTTATTGAAGTTTAATAGGTTTAAACAACAGAAGCGTAAAAGCTAATTAGCACATTGGAAAGAGGAGCTAACTCCAGGCTACTGAGGCTGACCTGTGGAGGCTTGTCAACTAGATGATTTATTGGTTCTCATTACTGTGGAGTTACTTTTAATTTAATAATTAAAAATTTGAGATGTATCAGCTTCTTATGGAGACAGGAAGCCATGCTGCTAGCTAAAGTTAGCGGGTGCTAAACTCCATTACGCCACTCCGCTTCATGTGGAAGCTAGGCGGGTTTTGGGCCTGATTTTCAGCACTTCTACAAACGTACCTCCTGCAGCGGCTCATCGCGCTTCCTTACACCTTTCAGACGCCCTACAGAGGCCTGAACTTTAGTTTAACTCGGACTTTCTCAAGCTAGCTAGTAACTCATTTAGAGTCAAGCTAGCGGAAATGGTAACGAGAACATCCGATTTCGTCATCAGCCTGTTCAAGTTTATTTAAAATATCTAATATAGACTGATTTTAATAGTTTAAATTTGTCTTTTCTACGCGTTTGGTTGTATTTGTTCACATTTATCGGAACTCAACCTGTGGTTGAAGTTTCCACCAAGTTTGAGCCAAAGTTCAGCTGTTTTTAGGCCCTACCTGACTGACTGAGTGTGTGTCCGATGTGGTTTTATATTTTCCTCTTCTCTGGACTTCACCAACTCCCGGCAGGGTTCTCCAGGTCGGCTGAGCTTTCTTTACTTTTGTTGGATATTTTCAATACATTTGGAAAGACCGTCTCAGAGTCAAAATCAAATAATTTCACTTAAAAGTTTTGCCTATTGTTTTGCCGGCGGCCGGAGGAACCATGTTCTCAGGTTGTCCGACTGTCCGTGCGTCCATTTCCACGGACCTTGAGCAAACTCCACAACATCCGGTTATCGGCTTTCATGAAGTAGATGTAAACTAAACTATTTTCTACGTGTAGTTTTATTTATTCACATTTATTCCACCAAACTTCAGCCAAAGTTTACCTGTTGTTTGGCCCGCACCTGAGATAAACTTAAAAGTCTTCAGGTTGATAAATCTGTAGCTGGTTTCTAGAGGCACGTTGACAACAATAAATGATAAATGTAGTTCTTCTTCTTTAAACTAAATATGAAGGAAGTGCATCTGACAGAAGAAACCAAAGTCAAATCAAAAAGTTAAAGTCACTTCTATATAAAATAAGAATGTTAACAATAAGAAAAAGCTGCTGCAGGGTGTGACTGCATTTCCTCCTCGGTCAGTCTTTACATCCTGTTTCACGACTGCATTCTCAGAAACAGGTGATACTTCTCACTCTCAGAAAAGACAGACAGAAAATAACTATAGCTGGTGGACAAGGGCTTCAGTTTGAATGGACTTCATGTCAAATATGAAACCACACAGACATTAAATGTTTCTTGGCTGCAGATGGTTTTATAATATTAAGAGTCACAGAGGGAAATCCCCTCTCACATGGTTTGTGTTTATTAGTGGTTCAATTTCTTTTACTTTCATTTCCTATTAAACAGAAACCTCCTGTTTTTTTCTTTCCTTTTTTTCTCAACTGACATGACATTATGGGTTAAATTTACTGTTGTGTAATGATGTGTAATGTGCATGTGTTTGCATTCTCTGTACAGATCTGTGAAAATTAATTTCCCCTTGGGGACAATAAACTAAAAAAACTGAAAAGAGGGTTATGCAATGAAAACCATGAGCAAATAAACTTTTACCAGAAGTTGTGAGGAAGTTTTTTATTTTAGTTTTACTTCTGATGGTTGTTACTTTGCTTGGCAGTCTTGGCCCTGGTTGAACTTTAGTTTCACTTTCACCTAACCACTGTGACGCAGATTATTTTCTCCTCTGAAGGTAAAGTGAACAGTTTTTAATGGTTTATTCGTTAACACCTGACAGACATTAAACATGTCCGCCATGTTGTGTTGATGTTTGGAATAAGAGTAGAAACAGAGTTAGTTGATGGTCAATAGTTGAACACAGAGTCGTTATTATTGTGGGTGAGTGGTCTGTCATTAGATTTACACTACAGGACTGATGTGGACTCAGTGTGGCGGGCTGACAACATGCGCTGTGTCAACGACCAGAGACCTATGAGAGCCTGACTCACCTCTCATCAGTCTCTTGTAGTCCTGTAGATCTGAATAACAACTCACTTCACTGCAGCTTCATGACGCCATCTAGTGGACTGATGGTAGAAGTACAGCAGCTGATGGCAGCTTCCTCTGCCTCACACTGATATGAAACAGAGAAGAAGAGCCAATCAGTGGAGGAGCAGCTGGAGAAATGATGTACATTTGAGTTGATGTGCAGATGAATGATGTGTGTTTCTCTCCACATGAAGGTAGAAAGTGTGTGTGAGCTGATGTGGATGTGAACTCAGCAGCATGGATCAGTGTGAGGACAGAGAGGAGGGAGCCCCTCCCTCTAAAACCACTCTGTGTGGGGAACATGAGAGCCAGACCAGAGCTCAGAGGTGAGATGAGGATCTCTAACTGTCCATGACTCACATCACTGCTCCATCATTATTCACACTCAAAGCTCTGTGTGTGTTAGAGACACACCACACTCTGCTGGACCTGGACCTGGACCTGGACCTGGACCTGGACCTGGACCTGGACCTGGATCTGGATCTGGACCTGGATCCAGCTGTGTGTCCATGAAAGGTGACTGGTTGATGGATCTTCCTGTTCATTTCAGGCAATCTGTTGATGGAAGGTCAGAATTAAAAACAGTCAGAAAGACGTTTCTCACTAAAAGTCAGTTGTTGTGTTTATTTAAAGATTGAAGATATTTTTCTCCAGTTTTTATTCAACATGAACATTTATCAGTTCTGTTTTTGTTTCAGGATCCAGCAGCAGAGACCAGACTCTCCTGAACCCAGCTGTCTATCTTTAAAGAGCGACGAGTTGAAGGATGTTTTCATTGTATTTAAAGGGCGACGTCCATCAGCTGATCAGATGTAAGCTGTAACTGACAGTAAGACTCAGGTTATTGTAGAAAAGAACTAGTTTGTACGACGTGTTGTTGGACCTGGTCTGAAATCAAAGTGTTTGTGTCTGTTGTGGACGTCCTCACTGGAAGGTGGAGGTAAAACAGTGGAGGGTTGGTGAGAGCTGTTGGGACTAAAGCAAACACTGAGCTGAAAGCTACAAACAGCTGCAGACTGAGCTGTTGATTCTCAGTGGGATCGGCAGGACTAGTAAACCTTTACCGCTACAGGGAGTCGTCTGATTGGCTGTCACATCCAAACGTGACTTCATGGACCTTTAGCTTGTGTCTGTCTCTGTGTGGACAGACATAATGTGAGCTCATTCTTCATGATTCCTCCACAGAGTGGACCAGGAGAGCTCAGAGGTTCCCAGCGCTCAGTCTGCCCAGCAGCATCAAACACAGCTGGACTCCATATTTATGGTCTGTACATGTACAACAACTACTGTCCCATCTGTTGTGTTCACAATAATCTCCATGCTGCACTTTCAGACCAGTGGACTGTCAGTCTGTCCAACATGGATCTGATGTTTGATGCTGTCATTCATATAGTTTTCTGTTCCAGCTGCTGGAGGAGAACATGGGTTAACCCTCTCCTGCCTATTTGCTTCTCTCCAACCTCCCTGTACTTCCACCTACCTACTCTTCACTACTGTCTATCCCTCCCGCCTCTGTACGGACTCACTACACCCTTCTCCTGCCAACATCCTACTCTCCAATTTGCCTGTACCTCCTCCTCCTGCCTACCCACCTGCTTTAGCTACTGCTGCACAGACTCTTACAAACATCCTTCCCCTACCTAGCCACAGTTGCCTGGCATTTACCTACCATCTACACCTAGCACTCTCTTACTCAGGCTGTGATCCCTAGCTACCCCTTACACCCCCTACCCCTGTTTGTGTGAGAGTTGACAGAGCTGAACATAAGTCTTTACAGAGGGAGGTTTGTTTTTCACCAACTCCTCAGATGTTCCTGAAGTGACTCAGCTCCCTTCCTGAAACATGATGAACATGACGATCTGTGATTCACGGTCGGAGTCGAGTTCCATCTTTGTTCTGAGGCAGCAGAGACTCATCCAGGTTGGGACCAACGTTCTCCTCCTCTGGTGTTCAACAAGATAAAGAAATGTGTTGCAGTATATAAGTAGTTATTCCCCTTTCTGCACGGGACCTTGAAGGGGTCCAGCAAGCAGACCCCACTTTGAGAACCAAAACATTAGTTTCATTTAAACCAAACGTCTGATGAAGGCTTTTAACTGTGGTCAAAGAACGGCCTTAAAAAGGTTTATGTTTGGGTTTATTGATAATATAATAAAGGATAATATTATATGTAATAAATTATAATAAATCAGTGTAAAGGCCACACGTTCATCTTTAGAAAACCTCATCACAAAAAGCTGCAGATCTAAAGGAGGAAGTTTCCATTTACGATCTTTAACCTAAATAAACAGAATGAGAATATTTCATATACATTTTAAATTGGAAGAATCTCAACATGAAACTCTTAAACATCTTAGAATTCTTGTATCTTGGTGGATTAAAGTATAAATTAAGTAAACTAGAATACATTTAAAATAATCAAACTACCATTAAATGACTAGAACATGAGAGTAAAAGACAAATGTTGTAATTACTATAATTACTAATTAGTCTGAGAATGAATCAAAACACCAAACTACTCATCAAAACCTTTAATTTTCAAGCTGGACATTAAATGGAAAAAAGCATTGCTCTGTGGAATAGTCCATTAATATTTTCACATACAGTATTTTTACGCAGCTCCAGAAATCCTTCAGTTTTTACAGAGTTGTGAAGCACAGTGACTAAAGCTGCTGCTTCAAACCTTCAGATCCTTTAAAGACGGTTTCGTTAAACTCTGGTTTGTCTTCATCCCAACAGAAACAACATCTGTCAATAATCACGTTCATGTTTTGATGCAAGAAAATAAATTCAGGAAAATCCAGCTGAGGTTTTGAATGAGTTGCAGCCTGACAGACACTTTAACATCCAATTAAGATTCGCTCAGAAATCTCTGTAAACAAATAAACTCAATGGCCAAAATAAACCTGTGATTGGCTGGTTTCAACCTTGAGCAATATATCAACTTTAGTATTGATCATTTTGCACTGGAATCGTATTGATTAGAGATCATTGAAGTGTCATCATGTGTCTAAAGTTTGTCAGCTGCATTTAAGATGAACATTTGAAGCAGGTCAGGGAGTTTTATTTTGAAAATAAAGGACTTCTCTTCAGTTTGTGCGTGTGCAGTCAAGAACAAACATTAACGAAGCCGCTTCCTCTTCAGTCTCGTCACAGAGCAGGTTCCACTGTGCAGAGGTTTACAGCCGAGCACGTTGCCCTCGGTGTGTTTGCATAGATTTGAATTTACAGCATGAAATGAAGGACAGCCAGAGAGAGGACAAACAAAGACAGATAGACAATAACCCTGAAAACATAGTGCAAACAGCCCCAAGAAAAAAGCCAATCACCCGCTGTGTGTCTTCAACAACTACATTCGGACAAACAACCAGAGAAAATATCAGGCTCTTCTTATTTCTCCAGTCTTTTGTCCAATCAACAGCTGCAGTCCCTTTTTTTTTTTTTTTTTTTTTTTTTTTTTTTTTACAAACCACACTGGTGTTTTTACAAATGTTAGTTCATTAACTCTAAAAATCATTTCAATGTTGTTGTTAATTAAGTTGAAACTTGCTGCAGAGATCATCCAGTAAAATCAGTGTTTGGTTTTGAATCAGTCTGGTGAAGCAGCTGAAACTAACGGATCAGAAAACTCCTTGGAGGTGCGTTCAAGGACACTTTGACATTGAATATTTGGTAATCGGCTGCTTATCAGTGTCAGAAAGTCAACCCCACATGACAAACTGATAAAGTGAATTCAGATTTTCTAACATTTAAAGTGGCACTTCAGGAAGTGATGTAATGTGCCACGTCCATAAACAGACACATTAAAATAAGAGTGGTCCAAACTGAAGCAGCAGAAGCCGAGATGTCCTGACGTCAGTTTGTCTGTTGTCCTGTGCGCCCCCCCCCCCCCCGGGGATCAGACCTGGTCTGAACTCAACTGGTGAAATCCAGCATACAACCTGTAGCAGGGTCAGACACAGGCTCTTCAAACTAACAACTATTTTTCTCTCTAAAAAATCTAAAACATAAGAATATAACAGGTCAAATATCACCCATGACTTCATTTAAGTGCATGTGTCTGGGGGATCAGTGACATCAAGACAGGTTGATGTGTTGAAACAGGAAGTAGGTGCTCAGGTTTCATTTATGGAAATGATTTGTTTTTTTGTGGTGTTTCAGCATCACTTCAATTTCACTAATGAACCTTGAACTCTGAATTGGAAATGATAAAGTGAAGTTTGTTCCCCATAACACTGAAGCAGGAATTAAATTGTCTGACTAACTAACTAGCTAGCTGAACCGTGTTAAAAACACCTGTGTGGTCGTAGAACTTGTATAAATGAATCCGTCCGTGGTTAATTTCCGCAGCCGATCTCCTCCTTGTAGCGGTTCGTCAGCATGTTGGCCTTGTGCGTCAGTTTGGACAGAACCGTGTGGAGTCCGTTCAGGTGGTAACGAAACTGTTTCTCCAGGTCATCCTCCTCCGCCTCCACCCGCGACACCTCCGTCACACCCGCCCTCTCCTTCCCCCGCCCGTCACCCTGCAGGACGCCCCACTCGATATCGTTACGGATGGACTTGAGCAGGACGTACGAGCTGTACATGTCGGCGTCCTGGTGGAAGTAGGTGGTGCAGTGGGCGGCGGCGGCGGGTGTGGTGTCGTTGGCGGTCCTCAGTGCCTTCACGTCCCCGTTCTCGTCCAGCGGAACGTCCCGCAGCAGGCTGGGCACCATCACCGTCTGGTCCATGTTGTTGACGGCGCCAATGAAGCGGTTCATGGCGTTGAAGAGCGAGTTCTTCTGGTTGTAGGAGTCAGATATCTGCATCATGGTGAGCACACCACCTGTCACAGTCCAGGGACAAACTTAGCCCGCTTAAGCTCTTTAGAGGATTATTATGAGACCGCAGCCAGATCCCGGGTCAAGTCTTAACTAGCTCCTGACCCCCGAAAGCTGGACCAGGTTGCACAGGAACTCACCACTCCAACATGGATCAGTTTCCTGGTTAAAGAGTCTGCAGTCTCACCCTGAAAGCCTGGTGTCACTGGTGGGGATGGAGAGCGTCTCCTGCTGCACGACTCCAGCCGCCCGTTTCACCCGGAGCTCAAATAACAGGAAACATGCTGCAATAAAAGCACAGATACACAGAGTGAGGATGGAGGTGGAGTTAGCCTCGTGGTATTAGCTACCAGGTGCTAACAAACATCTCCAAACACAAACTAAGACTTTACATAAACCTCTACAGTCCAAGAAGTAAAGGCAGCCTGAGAAACCAGGAAGTCTCCAGCATCAGCAGGCTGAAAGCAGCTAACACAATTAGCAAACGAACTAACGGTATATTCCAGTTGGTGATTACAGTTATTACATCACCGGGTTACAAACACTTGGCTCGTTAAAGTGAGGAGATAAACGTTAATGTGTCTAGATTGAGAATCCACCATGAGCTGCCGCTAATTAACGCTAAAGCAGCCTGCAAGCTAACGCTGCCGGACTGCACCCATTATCGGACATGTCCAGGTTTTCCGTTTGTCTCCCGACATCCACCTCTTCAGTAAAACACACACGTCCACTTACACATACGACCTTACTGTATCGGTGTCTGGTATTTTTCGAGTGGAAAATCAAAATTTCTCTGCGCACCGGTGTTGTGTCGAAGTCTGACCGCGTCCGATAACGGAACTAGGATACACTGTGTTGTCTCGAATTTAAATTCAAAGAAATGGCAACCGAACAACTGTTAGAATAACGGGAGAAAACAAACCGCCTGTAGCTGAGTGTGTCCGGATCCATTTCTAATCTTACCGGCGGTTTGCCTGTGTCAGTCTCCGTGATCACTGGGAACGAAACGACAGAGCAGCCACCGTGACGTTCTCCGCCCAAGGTTCGGGGACAGTTGGTCACACGAACCGTGAAACCTCCGTGATGGGTGAAGGTGTCCGGTGAACTCACCGTGTGTCCGCTGTTGTTCTTCGGTCGTGCCGGTGTGTGAGCCGTTAACCTGTCAGAGGGAGCACCGGGAGGTCTGCGGGTGTGTTGGGCAGCATCAGCAAGACGAGGCGGGGATTGTCAGGGAAAGACCGAACCTCCGGAGACAGCCAATCACAGGGGGGCAAGGCCATCCGACGTCATGTAGAACGTCAGTAAATGTTACCCTGTTTAACGGACGTCCCACGCGCCGCTCTTCTTCATAATTTTACAGTAATGAAGTTTATTTTTCCCGCCTCTATTGTATTCTGCACTGTTCGTCCGTCTGAATGTTTTTCAATAAAGGTTTAAAGTTACAATATGTTTTAACCAGCCTGTGGACAGGATAAAATGATGAAATTATGACATTTTATATCCCAAAGGTCAAAGGTCATACTCTCACAGACTCACAGATTTTGAGGCTCGTTCCCAGTCAGTGCGTGAGGTCCTAGTTCTGTCCTACTGTCTGAAGACATTTTGAGTCCTTTGTACGCACTTTCCGTAAGTCCGCATTTCTACAGACTTTGCCAGAGGGAATTACCCAAAGTTCATAGCTTTGGGACAGTTGCCGTGGTTACCAGGAGACGCCCGGAAGCGTAAAAAAAGGTAAACAACTGCGATAAAACTTTCACTGTGAAACTACGAAAAGTGCTTTCACTGTGACGCTGTACTCTTCTACTGATGGAGTATTTCTACCCTGTGGTAGTTTTACTTAATTAAAAGTGTAGAAAAAAACGCGATAAAACGGAAAAAGGAAAATTGAAGAAGAACGTTAGCATTTTAATCATCTGTATGTTTATGAATTATACAGGATATGGTTATCAATGTGGAGGTGGTGATTCTAGTTTACCATGTTCTACTTTGCTGTATTTCCTGTCTGTCATTTTCTCAGTCGTTTAGTAATGAATTAATTTCATGTCTGAAGACAAATATTTAAATATGTCACTATTTGTGTTTTTATCATTGTTTTTAATGAATAAAAAAAGTTTCTGGTTTGTTTTCTTGTTTTATTTCTCACCACATGACGTTTCACACAATCAACACGCACACAATAAAAACACTGTAATAAACATAAATAACATAGTGTAATAACACAGGGAGCAGCCAGGGCCACGCTCATGTTTCGGGCCCCTGTCAACCCCTGAGACAAAGTTCATGGAATAAGTACGTCTGCCAAGTGAGCACAAAACAAAATACAATACAGAAGACGACATTTAGTAGCTGTTCTGGAGCTTTCAAATACATGACATGGTCCTCATCAGTCAAAATGTTGGAGACGTTCTTAAAGTGTTCAGATTCATGGAGAGATTGTTTCAGGAACACAATCAACAACAACAAAAATAAACAACAAAACAAACAGGAATAAAAACTACAGGGTGTGTGGTTCAGTTTGGTGCCCTCTCAGTGAGAGTGTCCTCAAGTTATTTAACATTATTAATGATGTATTATTTCTTAACACAGACAACCAATCAGATTCAAGAAAGTGGTATGCATGTCAGGTTTCCATGGTGATGTGCATCCTCATCTTTTTTCTATAACAGAAAGAAAACAGTAAAATAAGAGCAGATGGAGGTGACTGACATCATGAGGACAATGTGTGTTGTCAGGGTGTGTGTGTGTGTGTGTGTGTGTGTGTGTGTGTGTGTGTCTTACCTGTCAGACCATCTCGTACTGGTTGGCGTTGATGAAGCGAGACAAACAACAGGCCAAAGACATTCCTATGAACTGGAGACAAACACACAGAGAGGTTTTCACTTTACCTCTTTATTTCCTGGAGGATCACTGTTGTCACAGGTGTGTGTGTGTGTGTGTCTGTGTCTGTGTGTGCTATACAGCATCTACAATATCCATCATACATTGTTTATTCATATATGTGGGAGTAGTGTGAATATCAAACCACATCTTATACAGTAACAGATCAAACTCATTAACATGAGCTCCACCTTCACCTGCAGCAACTTAACAGTGACCTCAGCCAATGGGAGGCGTGGCCTCCTTCAGCATCATCAGCACCCTGATTGGTCACAGTGACGACCAGTTCACCAGACATGTTTCTATTTTACATGTAAACTCATGTCAGGAGGTGGAGGTGAAGGTGAGATGGTCACCATGACAACGAGCATCACTCTCAGGACTAATGGGACACAGACACTCTCCTTGCCTCACATCAAACTGCTTCATCACTCTGGAAAATTTAAATGTATATTTTGTCTCGTGATATTTCGTTAGTGGCTGCTGCTTCCTGTTTGTTCACCTGAGAGAAGGCGATGCCGAAGGTGACTCCAGCGATGATCCCCATGTTGCTCTCTATGACGGACGTCACCAGCTCATAACAGCCCTGCAGACACACACGTCTCTCACTGTGATTTTGTTAATGACATCTCAAGCTGCTAATTGGAAGTATGTTTTTCAGACGAATGTCAAAGACAAATATTTTACAGTTACTCAGATCTAAAGAATTGTGTGTGTGCGTGTGTGTGTGTGTGTGTGTGTGTGTGTGTGTGTGTGTGTGTGTGCGTGTCCGACCTGTTTGTAGACTTTACGTGCAGCCAAAGTTGCGTTCTTCAGGTCGGCTCCGCTGCAGTCGGAGAGACTGACACAGCAGCTGGCGGGAACCCCCCCGACCGGGAAATACACACTGCTGAACCAGCTGGTGTAGTTATACACTCCACAGCAGTGTAACTGCAGAGACACAGGTAATACACTCACCTGAGTTTAGGTCAAAAACACATACACATCAAAACATATGAAATACAGAGAAGTGGTCTGAGTGTGGGACACCTGTGGGACACCTGTGGGACACCTGTGGGACACCTGTGGGACACCTGTGGGACCAGTATCTACACTGACATAGTGAAAGTAACAGAAGATTCCATGGTTGGTTTATCATTTAAATACAGTCCTTTAACTTATTGACTCTGCGTCATTTAAAGAGTCGACATGGAGGAAACATTATTTTATAAGATAAAAACTGAAAAGAAAGAAAATGTCACAGGAGTTTTTCTGGAGGAAATAATCAATAGGCTCATTAATACTGAAGATAATTGAACTGAAGTCACCTGGAGTTAGTTAGTCATAACTAGAGAGAGACAGAGAGTGATAGAGAGACACTGACTCTGCGTTGGACACCGTCCACAGCCAGACTCCTGTCATCTCGTCCATCATAGGTCATCACTGCATCGCTGTAGGTGGTGAGGAACGTCCCTTTGATCTGAACACACACACACACACACACACACACACACAGAGTTCAGTCAGTTTGAATAACTGCTTCTGTTTGTAAAGTGTGTGTGTGTGTGTGTGTGAGTGAGGGTGTGTGTGTGTGTATGTGTGTGTGTGTGTGTGTGTGTTTTCACCTCATGGCGAAAGACGAATCCAGAGATTCCAGCGATGAGTTCGGCCATGAAGACCAGAGACAGAAACGCAGCGTACTGAGCAGGGGTCAGAGGTCAGAGGTCAGAGGTCATGCAGAAGTCAAAATAAGAGGTTATTGGTCCTAATGAGAATCTAGTCTCAATCAAGACGTAATGACATCATGACGTGCACAGACCAGTCGTAACATCCAGGGGCGCCCCCTGCAGGTGGCGAAGCAGCCGAACAGTCCGAACAGCACGATGGCGGCTCCGGTGCCGGTGAGGACGTATGGAGCGTTGGACGGGGCGCTGGAGATCAGTAACATGTAGGGGCCCAACATGAACTTCCACCACAACCCCACCGACAGCAGGACCACACCTGTCACCTGAGGGGGAGGGGCTACAGGTCAGACCATCAAGCAATGAGGAAGTATTCTATTTTTTTCAGCAGGATTTAGAAAGAAAGAAGCTGAATCACAGAGAGCGAGGACGTGTGTGTGTGTGTGTGTGTGTGTGTGTGTGTGCGTGAGCGAGGGTGTGTGTGTATGTGTGTGTGTGTGTGTGTGTGTGTGTGTGTGTGTGTGTGTGTGCGTGTGTGTGTGTGTGCGTGTGTGTGTGTGTGCGTGCGTGTAGCAGTGATTCAGCAGCACATGACTCTGTAATGAACTCTGACAGCAAAGTGACAAAGTGACAAACAGACGAGAAGATCATGGTCCAGGACCTGGACCAGGACCTGGAGCAGGACCTGGACCAGGACCTGGAGCAGGACCTGGGCTATTTGAATACAAGACAAGGCAACAACTGAGTCCAGGTGGCAACTATGGCAACTGAAAATAACCAGGACTAAAGTCCCGACGAGGGAACTGAGGAGAAGGAAACAAGCAGGGTGATGTTCAGACCGGCCACTGGGATCCTGCTGTTGTATTTTCACATCTTCATTATCGTCCTGGTGTCACAGTTCCTCCTCCTCCTCCTCATTCCTCAGGGTCCAGATAATTACTGAAACTCCTGCTCTGACCTGTGGGTGACCTCTGACCTCATCACACAGCACATGTCCCGATGTCCCACATCATGAACTGTTAAAGTCTTAGATTAAAACCCAAACTATCCCTCTGACATATGATTCATCTTTAAAGGTGAATTTCACTTTCCTGTACAGTTAAATATAAAATACAAAATGGCTTCCTTCCACTTAAAGTAAACGATCTTTAACGTTACTACACTATAATTAAAAACAGGGAAACCTTCCACCTCCAAGACATCAGCTTCAGACAGTGAAGTGTTGAAAAGTGTGAGTTTGTCGAGACGCACAGTTTTGGATCATGACTAAAATCATGAGAATAAGACTTTAGCAACGTAAACATGTTTGAAACGTGTCAGAGATCATCATGGTTTTTAAAATGAGAAAGTGAAAATATAAAGACATTCTGCAGCAGAAAGTGAATGAAGTGTTTCCTCACCCAGAAGATAAAGGAGTAGAGCAGCAGCAGCGTCTTCAGACAGAAGATCACCGGTTTAGTCTCCATCCTCCTGTGAGCCATAATCCAGCACCGACTGTGACGGACCAGAACCAGGACTCTGTCTCTGTCTCCTTCTCTCTGTCAACCCTCATCGAGCCCTGTTGGTGTGAAACATGACAGCAGGTCGAGTCAAGCTCAGAGCTGACGGCGCCCTCTGCTGTTTGTAAAGGTCACTGCATAAGTCAGAAACAGCTGAGGTCCCAGAGCGTCATGTGCTGAGGTGATCCTGGAAAACACAAACAACACTGATGCTCCTCCAGGATCCTGTGTCGCCGTCTGTCGCTGCAGAGACGACACACTCCTCTTCATGATGAAGACTAAAGACTCAGTACTTACACACACACTGATGGTAGAGGACGAGGCCGCAGCACAACAAACTAGACAGCTCTGAGCCGAGCGTGCCGACATTCAGCCACAATCAGGCCGACTCAGCTGACGGCAGCTGGACTGTTTATTGATGTTAGATCACAGACGAATCACAGCGTCACGTCTTTATAGAGACAGTGACACATGAACAGTGTGAGGGAGACGTGCAGGACGACACGTGGACGATGAGACGAACATGTGACCCTCATACTTCACACTCCCACCACACAATTAACACGGAGGTGATCCTCATGGAGCCAGAGCTGCTGTTACACCTCAGTGTGAAGGTCCTGACACCACCCACACCCACCACCCATCACCCATCAGCCACCAGCCACCACCCACCACCCATCACCCACACCCATCACCCATCACCCATCAGCCACCAGCCACCAGCCACCACACATCACCCACACCCATCGCTCATCACCCATCAGCCACCAGCCACCACCCACCACCCATCACCCATCAGCCACCAGCCACCACCCACCACCCATCACCCACACCCACCACCCATCAGCCATCAGCCACCACCCACACCCATCGCTCATCACCGATCAGCCACCAGCCACCAGCCATCACCCTCCACCCATCACCCATCAGCCACCAGCCACCAGCCACCACCCACACCCATCACACATCACCCATCAGCCACCACCCACCAGCCGCGCTGCAGCGCCTCAGGGCAGATAAATATGATCAATAATAATTGGCAATAACTGCAACGTAAGTGCAAATGTAGCTGCAGGTTGGACTGATCATATTTTAACTGGTTTATTTACACCTAGTAAATAATAAACTGTATTACCTATTTATTAAATCTGTTATTATATTCAGTCATCCTCCTGTTTCTGATCAATAAATTGAATCATTTTAGAAACTCATCGTCCCACTTTTCTTCCCCAATGTTTAAAAGCTTTCAACAGTTTTAAATCTGTTCTTTATTGTTCCTCTTTAATCTCGTCTTGTGAATCACTTTGTAACTGTGTTTTGAATGGTGCTGTATAAATAAAGATTATCATTATTTATAGTGAAGAGTAAATGTGTGATCATCAATATAAATGAGCTCAGTCAATCCAAACCGCAGATGTTAGAAGGCTAATGCTAACAATGCTAACGGCTCTCTACTTGCTAAGATGTTGCTTGAGTTTTAGTGGTTGAACCAGATTCAGTAAATCACTGGTTAAGAACTAGTTTACACACAGACTTAGCAGATTAAGGACTAGTTAACGAAAACCAATCACAGACTGTTACCAACAAACTCGAGCAGCAGATGCTTCTTGACGTTTTATTGGTTTAAGCAGAGCAGAAATTCATTGTAACATAAAGTGAAAATGGATAAAATCATCATTTGACGGTGAAGAATATGAGCTGAGGTAAAAGTGCAGCAGCTACAGACCTGATGATTCACATTGGCTGGAACACAGTGAATTGATAAGACATTCTTTACAGCGGAAGATCGACTTTCATTTCCTGAGTCGTGCCCTTTAGCTTCAGGGAGCGCCACACAGCTAACGGATGTGATATATCATTAAGTGTGATTTATATATCTATATGAGCTAATGCACGATTAGTGACTGAGATGTGCGAGTACAGAACGGCTTGTTGTGCGTTTGTAGTTTCAGATCATCAGTGGTGGTTCTCTCTCTCTCTCTGGTCGAGTGTCCTTAGACTTGTACAGACCACGGTGTGAAGCTCCCAGGTTCAGCAGCAGGACACTGCAACACAAACGTATAGAAATTGATGCAGTGTGTTCATTATGTTAAATATTTTAAAGAAACAGAGAGAGAGTTTCCGCCTCCACCGCAGCAACTTGTACCAAAACTTTAAAGCACCACACCTGTAAATAAATACTTGACTGCCTCCATTGATCATTGATCGGCTGATTTCTAAAGAGCTGAAAGAAATCTGATCAATAAACATCAATGAAGAGACTTTTCTCCAGTTTCTCTGATGTTTTGTTGATCAATAAAATCAACCTCAACACAAACACGGCATATGTTGATCAGGCTTTCGTACCAGTTTGGTGAAGCGGTCGCTGCAGGCGTTGCGGATCCTCTCAGCGGAGGCGGGGCTGTCCAGCCTGAATGGGCCGCTGATGCCGGCCTCTGCGCGGGCGGCACTGATGGCGTCTTTGATGGCGTAGAAAACTGAAGCTGCCAGGAAGAGAGGAGGCTCGCCCACGGCCTGGAGAGAAAACATGTCATCAGCTCTGAAGTCTAAAGAATCAGTTTGCTCTGTGTGAGCGGTGACGGTGGTGATGATGTCAGTGATGTCAGTGACCTTGGAGGAGAAGATGGCCTTGTCGTTCAGTGCGTCCCGCAGCAGCGAGACGGTGAGCTCGGTGGGGATGTCTCCGAACGCCGGGATCTTATAGGAACCAGGCCCCCGAGTGAGGAGGACGCCCCGAGGTGAGTAATGCAGCTCCTCCAGTGTGAAGAGACCCAGACCCTGCATGAACCCCCCCTCCACCTGGAGACATGGACAGAGTCACATCTCACTCTGAAGGGTCAGAGGTCAGATTCTTCTCAGATGAACGATGTAATTCCTCCAAAACAAACGCGATCGATCAATTATATCTAAAAGATCTGGACACTTTTCTCAGCAGAGGAGGAGCGAGAACCTTCAGTGTAGTTTAGGATAAATATCAAACATCGTCTCTCTGAACTGAATTCCCTGTATTTCTTCTCTTTGTATCTCTTTTTTCCTTTTTTAAAGTTGTTAATTTATTGTTTTATATTGTAAAAGATATTATACTTGTTCACTTACTGTCTTTATATTTTATTTAATTTAATTATCTACTTACTTTGCATGTGTTTTTTTACACTCACCTGTCCAATGTCTATAGCTGGGTTGAGGCTGTGACCCACGTCCATCACGATGGTGGTGCTCAGGTTCTACAATACAAACACATCACATAAAGATTCTCTTATGTTTTACAACATCTGGAAAACTTTTACGAATCACTTCCATAACATCGAATCATCTGACAAGAGCTGAGACGAGGAAACAAAGGAAAGGAACAGATATAAACCACCTTGCTGAATCTTTCATGATTATTACTTAATCTATTGATTTAGTATCTTTCTTCTAACCCAGTGGAGGGATATGTAAACTGCAGTTGCTACTGATGAAGATAAGGTTGTTACACATCTGGAAACAACATGGTGTCACTTGCTTCAATTGAAAATTGTCAACTGTCTGATAACTGTTGTATTTTGTGGCGAACAAAATTTTTTGTTGCTTTACTTGAACAAAAAGACAATAAATGTAGTTAAAAAACAATTATATCACATAAATATCTGTATTCAGTTACTGAACTAACGTTGATCCTTCAGCAACAGTCTGAACATCAGATTCACCGTTTCCTGTTTCTAGTGTCAGTTGGTGCTGACCTTGTGCGCTCCGGTCAGACAGTCGACCTCCACCTCTGAACAGGCGACTCCGTAGGTGAAGTAGTTGAACGCTCGACCGGAGTTTGAGTCGAAGTCGTAACCGAGATCTGGAGTCCTGAAGACAAAGAGGAGACGGTGACACTCTGAACTTGGACAGGTGAACTGAAGCAGAGACTCGCTGTGTGAACTCACCTGTAGAATCCGTTTGCACTGAGGCTGACTCTGTCGAAGTACGCCGCCCTCACCTGAAACACAGGTATGCACACATCAGTGACATCATCCAGCCACGTGCGTCAGACGACCTGCTACAACCTCTTAATCATTTATTTTTATTCTACACATGTACAGAACAGCTGACATTTCATTGTGTGTTGTTATTGTATATAACATCTGTTTTATCTTATTTATTTATGATTCTGTTTCTAGTCTCATTTTATTTCTTCTTACATTTACTTATTACACGATGTCACTACAAGTAAGTAAAGAGAGTTTAGATTCTATAATTAACTGATATTCATCATCTGTTACTGTTAAATATTCTTAATACTTCTGCTCACCCAGTCCTCCCATGATCCTTTGGGGTTCTTGGTCTTGTACGGTTCCAGACGTCTCACGAGGATGTCGCAGGCGTTCTGCACGGCGGCTCCATTGAGGTCGGAGGAGGCAGAGGCGGCGGTGGGGCTGGTGTTGGGGACCGTGTTGGTGCTGGTCTCTGAGATGTGGATCTTTGAACAGGGGACACCCAGAACCCGGCTGGCAACCTGGAAACACACACACACACACACACACACACAGCTTTACTAAAGCGTCAGTCTCATGTATCTGAAGCTGCAGTTCTTCTAACGGCCACCAGACGGTGCCATTTACACTGAAATGACCTGAAACCAGAATCTCTATGAACCATCAGCACAGATTTACAATTTAAAAAAAGCTAAAAAAGATGAAAAACCTGAATATTAAAGCGAATAGTGAAGCTCCTGTACCTGGACCATCTTGGTGTGGAGTCCCTGTCCCATCTCTGTCCCCCCGTGGGTCAACAACACTGAGCCGTCTGTGTAGATGTGGACCAGAGCGCCGGCCTGCACACACAACAAAACACTGAATCAAACATATTCAGGCCTTCACAAAAAAACACACAATCAACCGTTGGGTTGTTCATCAGACCTGGTTGAGGAAGACGGCAGTGAAGCTGATGCCAAACTTGGTGGGGACGATGGCGAGGCCTCGTTTGGTCCATCGGTTCTGTCTGAAGAAACACAGAAAGAGCTCGTTTCAACCAGCAGCGTTTTTAATCAGCGCTGC